ACAACATGACACAGTTCCTAAACTTCTTCACAACATGACACAGTTCCTAAACTTCTTCACTACATGACACAGTTCCTAAACTTCTTCACTACATGACACAGTTCCTAAACTTCTTCACTACATGACACAGTTCCTAAACTTCTTCACTACATGACACAGTTCCTAAACTTCTTCACTACATGACACAGTTCCTAGACTTCTTCATCACATGACACAGTTCCTAAACTTCTTCACTACATGACACAGTTCCTAAACTTCTTCACTACATGACACAGTTCCTAAACTTCTTCATCACATGACACAGTTCCTAAACTTCTTCACTACATGACACAGTTCCTAAACTTCTTCACTACATGACACAGTTCCTAAACTTCTTCAGTACATGACACAGTTCCTAAACTTCTTTCACATGACACATGACACAGTTACATGACACAACTTCTTTACATGACACAGTTCACTACATGACACAGTTCCTAAACTTCTTCACTACATGACACAGTTCCTAAACTTCTTCACTACATGACACAGTTCCTAAACTTCTTCATCACATGACACAGTTCCTAAACTTCTTCACTACATGACACAGTTCCTAAACTTCTTCATCACATGACACAGTTCCTAAACTTCTTCACTACATGACACAGTTCCTAAACTTCTTCACTACATGACACAGTTCCTAAACTTCTTCACTACATGACACAGTTCCTAAACTTCTTCACTACATGACACAGTTCCTAGACTTCATCATCACATGACACAGTTCCTAAACTTCTTCACTACATGACACAGTTCCTAAACTTCTTCAGTACATGACACAGTTCCAAACTTTCTTCACTACATGACACAGTTCCTAAACTTCTTCATCACATGACACAGTTCCTAAACTTCCTAAGTACATGACACAGTTCCTAAACTTCTTCATCACATGACACAGTTCCTAAACTTCGTCACTACATGACACAGTTCCTAGACTTCTTCACTACATGACACAGTTCCTAGACTTCTTCACTACATGAGACAGTTCCTAAACTTCCTAAATACATGACACAGTTCCTAAACTTCTTCAGTACATGACACATTTCATAGACTTCTTCATCACATGACACAGTTCCTAAACTTCTTCACTACATGACACAGTTCCTAGACTTCTTCAGTACATGACACAGTTCCTAAACTTCTTCATCACATGACACAGTTCCTAAACTTCGTCACTACATGACACAGTTCCTAGACTTCTTCACTACATGAGACAGTTCCTAAACTTCCTAAATACATGACACAGTTCCTAAACTTCTTCAGTACATGACACAGTTCCTAAACTTCTTCATCACATGACACAGTTCCTAACTGTAGTAATGAGATGTTGATATCTAATTTTCCCTGTAGTAGTGAGATGTTGATATCTAATTTTCCCTGTAGTAATGAGATGTTGATATCTAATTTTCCCTGTAGTAATGAGATGTTGATATCTAATTTTCCCTGTAGTAATGAGATGTTGATATCTAATTTTCCCTGTAGTAATGAGATGTTGATATCTAGTTTTCCCTGTAGTAATGAGATGTTGATATGAGATGTTGATATCTAATTTTCCCTGTAGTAATGAGATGTTGATATCTAATTTTCCCTGTAGTAATGAGATGTTGATATCTAATTTTCCCTGTAGTAATGAGATGTTAATATCTAATTTTCCCTGTAGTAATGAGATGTTGATATCTAGTTTTCCCTGTAGTAATGAGATGTTGATATGAGATGTTGATATCTAATTTTCCCTGTAGTAATGAGATGTTGATATCTAGTTTTCCCTGTAGTAATGAGATGTTGATATGAGATGTTGATATCTAATTTTCCCTGTAGTAATGAGATGTTGATATGAGATTTTCCCTGTAGTAATGAGATGATATCTAATTTTCCCTGTAGTAATGAGATGTTGATATCTAGTTTTCCCTGTAGTAATGAGATGTTGATATGAGATGTTGATATCTAATTTTCCCTGTAGTAATGAGATGTTGATATCTAATTTTCCCTGTAGTAATGAGATGTTGATATCTAATTTTCCCTGTAGTAATGAGATGTTAATATCTAATTTTCCCTGTAGTAATGAGATGTTGATATCTAGTTTTCCCTGTAGTAATGAGATGTTGATATGAGATGTTGATATCTAATTTTCCCTGTAGTAATGAGATGTTGATATCTAATTTTCCCTGTAGTAATGAGATGTTGATATCTAATTTTCCCTGTAGTAATGAGATGTTGATATCTAATTTTCCCTGTAGTAATGAGATGTTGATATCTAATTTTCCCTGTAGTAATGAGATGTTGATATCTAATTTTCCCTGTAGTAATGAGATGTTGATATCTAGTTTTCCCTGTAGTAATGAGATGTTAAGGGCAAAATAACAACTGTATCTGAAATGTTTACATTGTTAGTGACATTTGTCAGAAAATTTGTTTGTCTCACAAAATCTGCATGATTACAGTAGAAATTTTCATCTACATTTAAATAACATGTAAACATACATGTACAGGTTATATAGTTCCTACACACACCTGGTCACATTCTCACTTGTGTACACTCACATTAATCTAACACACCAAATATTGTAATACTGCGGTCATTACCCGATACAAATATCCTACATTTATCTCTTTTACACACGCCATGATATGTACACATCTAACACCTATTCTTACTGCCTCTCACTCATCCATTTTGACAGCAAAGCCATAACCATACTTACTCACCATTTCATAATTAACAAAAATAATTTCTGTCTGTAATTAGAACCTTACACCAGTATTCAATGTTGTGATTAAAAAAAATCATTAAAAGCCAGATATGAAAATTTTTAGCTTTAATCAAATTAAACCTGGTCTAACCTTAGTCAGGAAATGACAACATGTTGTTTTGATGAAATATTTAGCATGTCTTGTTTGATGCAAATGCTGAGTTCATAAAGTGAAAAGCAGTTAAACATTGTCAACATATCACCTGACTACTGTCATTACTATGCTTACTTACCCTGCATATAAATGATAAAAATGAATGTTTAGTAAACATTGAAGAGCATGTGCAAAATTTTAATTACAAATTAAAATTGACAATATGTTCATATAAGTACAGGATAAATAAAGCATTTTTTCCCATTTGTACCATTTGAGAGACATTTTCCTTGCATGTTGCTGGGGAAGCAGTTACCTGTGCATTGAGACCATGTCCCTAGCACATTTAAACTGACTTTAACAGGTCACTGTTAACATATTTACCTGTGTATTGAGACCATGCCCCTAACACAGTTTAATTGACTTTTACAGGTCACTGTTAGCATATTTACCTGTGTATTGAGACTGTGTCCCTAACACAGTTTAACTGACTGATATTTACCTGTGTATTGAGACCATGTCCCTAACACAGTTTAATTTACTTTTACAGGTCACTGTTATATTTACCTGTGTATTGAGACTGTGTCCCTTACACAGATTAACTGACTGATATTTACCTGTGTATTGAGACCATGTCCCTAACACAGTTAAACTGACTTTAACAGGTCACTGTTAGCATATTTTCCTGTGTATTGAGACCGTGTCCCTCAGTTAAAGTAACCATACTCGTACATAATAGGCCATTATCTACACATTTACCTGTGTATTGAGACCATGGTTCTAACACAGTTATAAAGACTCTATTACAAGTTATCAGTAACAAAAAGCAAATGGGAGTGTAATTAAAGTCACCATCTATAGGAAAAAAAACAACCCCAAAATACAATATCCTTTATCAGAGACTATAGACTATGACAATGTCAGCAGATAAATTTGTTCAAAATGTCGAGATCACATTATACTGTAAAAGGAATGTTCAACAAAACCTGAGAATTAGTGATTTTTGGTCCATTTAATGTTTGTGTCAAATATGTATGAATCAAAATCAAATATTAATGACATTTTTGTTCATTTGACACCTTTTACGAAGCAGTTGACAATGATACATTTGCCCTTATTTCCATACATAACAATTCACATAAAAAATTATACAGTGGACCTCAAAAATCAAATTGGGTTGGTAAATATGAAACCCTATCCAAATCCACCATATGAAATATTTGTTTATGAAATCATCCCTGGCACAACTTTAGACTAAATTTGAAGATGTTATTCTTTCACTTACATGCTCCTTTATTACATAACTGCACATAGTTATAAGCCTTTATCATACTTCTTTAAATTAGTTCTAATGAAGAATACATGATGTCAGGATGAAATATTTGTTATAAAGCACATTATTTTACAGTTCTTTGTATCTTACAAATTATAAAACCTGAAAAAAATGATACTTGAAGAAAAAAATGAATAGAACTTTAAAGCCAAAATATTAAGATCTCTAATTATCTTTATATCGAATGGCCATGTATATAGCTGCGTTTAAGTTTGAAACCATAAAACCATAAAAAAATTGGTTCATATTGGTGAAATGATGATTCAATATTTATAACCAATAGGAACAATAAAAACATACTAACCATGCAATGATATCTATAACCTTAAAGATGATTTTTATTACACTTTAAGTATTACTGTGATGTCGCATAACAGGTCTACATTACCCCAAACCAATGATCTGTAGTAAAACCAATGATCTGTAGTAAAACCAATGATCTGTGGTTAAAGCAATGATCTGTGGTAAAAACCAATGATCTGTGGTTAAACCAATGATCTGTGGTAAAAACCAATGATCTGTGGTTAAACCAATGATCTGTGGTTAAAGCAATGATCTGTGGTAAAAACCAATGATCTGTGGTTAAACCAATGATCTGTAGTAAAACCAATGATCTGTGGTAAAACCAATTACCTGTGGTAAAACCAATGATCTGTGGTTAAACCAATGATCTGTGGTAAAACCAATTACCTGTGGTAAAACCAATGATCTGTGGTAAAACCAATTACCTGTGGTAAAACCAATTACCTGTGGTAAAACCAATTATTTGTGGTTAAACCAATTATCTGTGGTAAAACCAATTACCTGTGGTAAAACAAATTATCTGTGGTTAAACAAATTATCTGTGGTTAAACCAGCTACCTGCATTACACTAGTAACTTGCAGTTGAATCAACTACCTGTAAGTTATATGTGTGGTACGCTTAGTGAACACTATTGGTCCTGAAGTTAAGTTAGACATCATACTGAAATAGCTCTTCTGTTTCCATGCTAGGTACTGGGAACATCACTCAAGTGTTTTATACATACATTGACCTGATGGAGATGGTAACAACAGAATATCCACATCACATGAAGTAAACCCAAACCAGCTATACATACTAATATATTCAGAAGAAACAGACAGGTTCTATTACCTACTAATGCTAACCTCTATCTTAGGAGGTTCCAAGAAAAAGACCTGTCAATTAGCCAGTAGTGACATATCTTGCTGACAAAGTTATCAGATATTATTAACCAACATATTGACAGTGAATCAACCAATTGTGTTCCTTGTTCTAGAACCAGAGGGACCTTGAAATAAAGATATGTTAATACAGATGAGATATTTGATCCTAACAGGAAAATCATTATCATACAGCTTCTGCATCAATAACACACATGTGATCAATGTACTTGATTGTTGTTTACATCAGAACAGGAAGACTTTCACAATTCCAGGAACACATATTAATGTAAGTTAGATATGAGGACAAGGAAATGTTTACATGGACAGATTTCTGACATGTCCTACTGAACCACTACTACCACTGCTGTCGTTAGAAATGGTCCTGAGCCGAGGTCGAGCTGGAGGTGGACTACAACAGTAGCCCTTCATCATGGAACTCTTCAGTATTTCTGTGGCTGTTGGTCTGCCACAAGGATCTTCACACAGAAGCCATCTGATGTATTTACTCTGTAAAAGTGTAGCCAATATTTTATCTTTAAAATGTTATCACCATTCTGTATGTCCCCTTCACATGACATGTTGAAAAAAATTCTGTGGCCATGCAGGTTTGGAGACAAAAATAACATTATGTGTATTATAAAAAATCTTCACCATTAATTTAAGAAGATGGTGACAACAACAGTCAGTAAGATCCTTTTCTGTATACTCATGTCTTTTCATACAATGAAGTTAAGCTTTGTGAAACATCTTGATATCGGTTAAAGTTAATATTATCTTGATTGATCTTGTTCAGCATTTTGTCAGGGAAGTTTATAATAAGGTAGGTTCTGATTTTATATAATTATATATATGAGTACAGTTACCTGTTCTGGATACGCCATATCAAATTCTCTTGGGAGTTGTCTTATCTTAACCGCTGTCATGGTACGAACCCTCTCCATCTGGGTGCTGAATGGATACAGCAATTCAAAAAGGATCATTCCCAGGGAGAAAATATCCACCTTCTGTCCGTAGGTTTTCCCACAGACCTACAACATCAATAATACTCATAATACCAACTAAATCAATTCTAAAAGTTTAACTTATGTAGGCATGGAATCATATTTTGAAGAAACAACACAAACAAATTTCATATTATCATTCCAGATTGTGAAATATTCAACTCAAAAACACTGTTTATGTTGTTATCTTGCATCTTACCAATTCTGGTCCCATATAGAGTTTAGTCCCAACCTCTGTTGTATGTTTGAAAGTCACATTTCCCAGATTCTCTTCCCCTAAAATCTCTTCCTCTGACAGAGCTGTGACCAGGCCAAAGTCTCCAATTTTTATAACATTATCTGCTGAAAAAAATATGTTGGAGGGCTGAAAAAAAGAGAGAGAAAAACAAAATGAAATTAAAAATAACAAGAATCCACTAAATCTTGATTGAAAGAGTAAACAATTTATATCTCAAGAGATTTTATCTGGGAATCAAAATAGACAATAAACTGCGATCAATGATATAATTAAGTCAATCACAATACATTTCTAAGTCTTACCTTCAGATCTCTGTGCATTAAGCCACAGCCATGAACATACTCAATTGCACACACGATTTGTCCAAATATTTTCAGCATATCATTTTTGTTCCTTGGTTTATTATTAGCACTTAACCATTCCTTCAAAGTTTCTCTTTGACACAGCTGCATCTGAATATATAGGAATAATTTTTGTGAAGGTTCCTTTAATTGTTTGGTTTCATCTTTTGGATTTTTGTGAGACTCTTTAGTTTTGGATAGCTGTATGTCTGTGGAAGCGGAGAGTTGACTTGAACAACTTGAAAGTGGCATGTTTAGTCTGAAGTTATTAGAATTCTGATCACTTGTTTCTCCTGTAAACACAATGCCTCCACTTGACTCACTCTTCGAACTTTTCTCATTTTCAGCACATCCTGAGTCCTCAAACTGTACACTGAAGGAATTGCTGTCAGATTTCCAGCAGTCTTTGTGATGTCTGGTAAATGGAAGAGACTTTGAACAGCTACCACTATCTTCACTGTCTTCTAGTTTGAATTCTACTTCAAACGAATCCTCATTGTCTAAATCGTCACTTATATTGAAAAATGGCTGATTGCGACTAGGTTCTGTATCCGAGCTTATCCACGACTGGTCAACAGAAAATTCAGCACTACTACCCTTTTTTTTTGAGAAGTTATAATCGAAGTTTCTTGACTGACCTCCAAATGGATTCTTAAGGTCAAACACTGGTGTATCTGGTATACTTAAGGCATGTGATTCTGTCTCTACAGAGTTACATGGTGTTGGCAAAGTCACACATTCACTACAAAACAAAATTCAATTAATACAAATTGGATATTCCCATTCCAGTGCTTTTCATTGACATTCAATCATAGGGACTGAGTACAATTTCTTGTAATTGCCCTAAAAGTAGCTTTGCTTAGTTACAGGAGACAGGAGAAAATCCCTTATTAATTTCTGGTTTGTACAAGGGAATTTCCTAAAGCCGTATTTTTCAAGGCCATCTTAAATCTAGGACTAAAGTAAGGTACTAAAGCAAGGAAAAATTATAAAATTCAATGAAAACAAGATGTGTTTATGAAACACTATGTCCCCCAGTTGTAACAAAATTAAAATCACATGGTGAAAAGTTTTTTCAAATGTAGGTCAAAGGTTACGGTTAAGGTCACAAGGTGAAAAATTTTGGTACCATTGGAAAGGTCTTGTCATACAGAACACACATGTCAAATATGAAAGCCCTACCTCTTATGATGCAATATTTATAGGCAAGGTTAAAGTTAACAACAGACAAATAAACAAACAGAATGACAAACAAACAGACAGCACAAAAACAATATGCCCCCAATCTGTTGATCTGGGGGCATAAAAAATGCCATATCATCCTCAAAGTCTAATGAAAAACTTCTTTGTACCATAAAGTGTTGTCTCTACCAACCATGAACAATGTCAGTCCTTACCTGTCAACCCACTGGCGATCCATATCCTCCTGCCAGCCTGGGGGAGGCGACTCCTCCCAGGCATGGAAAAATCGTACAATTCCTGTGTGTTCCAGAGTGGCCAGTGCTCGGACTTCCCTCATCACTTTTTCTTTGGCACTGGAAACATTTTTATTTACCTATTTTATCAAACACTATTTAGAAATAATAAAACATACAATTCTTGTACATAGCACACCATAACAAACTCCTGAAAACATGACTTAGAAGGAAAAAATATACATATAAAGTTTCAAATCAGTTTAAATTCAATACCAACGAAGATAGTCAAAGGCTAATGGAGGGAATAACATAGGAACCCTAATCAGAATGGATATGAAATATGAATAAAAATTTTAATTTCTTACTTATCAAAACTCTTTTCCACTGAAAGTTACTTCCTTTTAGATATTAGTTTAATCACAGCTTGAATCATACCTGCTTTTAAGTTCAATCCTCTTAACAGCATAACAACAGGTGTCCATTTTGTTGCGGGCCTCAAACACCACTCCGTAGCCTCCTCTACCTAGAACTTGGATCTGCTCAAAGTCCTGTCTGTATCTAGTGTATATAACAATGAGAACACCTTCAGAAATATTGAAATAGATTGAAACTATCATACAGTAGACTAAAGAGAAATTTAAGAATAATGACAAAGAAAGACCTAAGAAAAGTCATGAAGGAGTTAATGTTGAAGGAGGCCAAAACCATGCAATCTAGAGAGAAAACTAGCTTCTTGTAACAATGAAATCTTTCAGAAGTGCATAATAGTGACAGAGAACTCATCGTAAAAGATTATTATAAAGTCATTAATCTATTCAAATATCCTTCTCTCTTTAAGGGTAATCATATTATAAGTTTCAAGAAGATTAAAAATAAAAAATAATTTGGCAAAAACTGAAACAGCAAAAGACATTCTTTTGCAAAATTATAGAAGTATGATTGTTTAAAAATCTATAGATAAGAGTATGAGGACATGTCCTTGAGACACTTGTATCAAAAATACTGGGACACACAAATGCTATCTCTATACTACCTCGATGTGTACTCTTCAGTTATTTTCTGTATCACTGCTGAGTCCTGATCTACTGCCACAGTCACATTGCCACTATCTGACATCTACAACAAAAGCATAATCAATGTTACAAATTGCTATTCACTCGTGTATCTTATGTATAATCTTTAAGATAGCAGGTGGTAGACACTGCTGGTGGACTTCAAGTTCCCGAGGTTTGCCGTAACTTGCTTACCACGTTTTAATTCACTCAAATAGTTGCAGAGTTCAGAAAATACTCATGTACTTGACGCTATTCTAAAATTATCTGGTATTATTGAAATTTATCTAATCATAGGGCTGCTGCACCTCCCAGTCTGGATTTTGACTTTTTTTTTTAATAACTTTTTAATTTTCCTTAATCTCCTTCTAGGCTTCAAAATTTAGTTTTGTCTAAATTAAATATGGCTGTTTCCAATATGACATGTCATTTTACGAATACCTTGGGAACAATACATTAAGTATCACCGATGTTGGCAACATAATTTTATGTTTGAAATATACCTTAAAATCAGTCACAAGATGATAAATTATCTATAAATGAGACAATTTAGCAGTTCAACTGCGAAACACTAACTTGTGGAAGTAGTGGTATGTTTCTCCTCCGCCCCAATTTGTGTAGGATAATGTTTACAAGGATGGAAGTGACAACACTGATGCTGATCACTTGTCTCCTGAAATGTGAAAACCATGAATAACCAGACAATCAGATAAAAACACTGAAGGACTGGGAAATATAATAATAGTATAAATTCCTGTGAATGTCGAAGTCAAGTTACTGTACCAAAGTCTAAACACATTGCAATGCATTGGAGTTAAGTGATAATCATATTTTTAAAAATCTTCTGAAGTCACATTTACTTAACATTTACCAATATACAAGTAGGGAAAACTTTGATTTGTAGATTCTTCTGGTTACCCTGTTTGGCAGTAATTTTTTCTCAATAACCATGTTAGTAATTTTGATATTGTGAATACTTTCTGACATGTTTAGAATAGAAATTATGACACATACACTATAGCCAAGTGTACAAGAGAAGGAAGAAATCAGTGTGACACAATGCTGTATCATTTTAATACTGTGTCTGACTACTCCCTTACAATCCAAACAAAAAAACTGCAAAAACAGGATTTTTTTTCATGATAATTTACATCTATCCATAAAGGCCTTTCAAGAGAGCAGGAAAAATGGTCTTTACAATTTTGTAGCTGATCTTTACACAGAAGTTCAACAACTATATAGATAAGTGTTAAAAAGCAGTAGTCTTTAAATATTACGTAAAAAACATATGGTTCAGGAAGATACACAGATGGTGTTTACTTAGAAATCTGAATTAACATGATTCATTAATTATGTTCTTATAATTACCAGTAGGTCCACAATGAGGTAGTCATGACACTTTCTATTATAGAGGAGCTGCTGTTTTGAGAGGTAGAGTTGTTCTTCTTATATGAAGAATTTGGTACCACAAATTCAAACTCTGGATACAGGTAGTAACCATTGTCTGTAAAAATAAATGTAATAAATAAAATTCATATGTTTGGTACAATTAAGGTTTTTCATTTTCATACAATTTTTATTGATAACAATGAAGAAATAAGGTCAGGTTGTAATTATAAAAAAAGACATATTGATGCTAGATATTAAAACATTCCTGACTGGGCTCAAGTTAAAATATTGTTTTTTTGGCATTAAACTACCTTACCAAAACCACAATTTTGTTATAAATTGTTCACAGGTAACAGAATCTTTTTTAAAAATAAATGTCTAATTCTCCCTATTTTCAAAATAAGACTGCATGGCTGACATTGAAATGGCAAAATTCAAATGGGAAATGAGAACATATCTATACATTTTAGTTTCTATACTCCAATGATAAATATATGACAGGAAAATAATTGATGTTCTAGATATCATACCATGTGACAAAATTTGAGAATAGCAAAATAAACCTGTTGCACAATAGTAACCTTTAAAATAACAATTAATAAAATGGTGACTAGTTTATGGAGATATGCCTGATGGTCAGATTTGTATTCTTGTTGAAATGCACCCCTACACTGATGGATATTGATTCAAACACTCTTACCAAAAGGGTAGTTTTCATGCCACACAGAGAGACCCCTTTCTTGTTCATCCTCCATCTCTGGTAAATTCTTTTCACAGTGATCTAGAAGGGGCACTTCACCATGACCTTTGTAGTTCAACCAAGGTGTTCTTGATGGGGCTAAACACATACAACATCCATTCAATTTCATTTCATAAACAAAGCTATATGTTATTGTATATCTCATCTTTGGCTAGAATTACTTAAATGTACTTCTATGAAAATTACAGATAGTCTGAAACGGGGTGTCCGTCTTATATAGGGCATCTGTCTGAAAGGAGGTATCTCTCTTGAACACCTGTTCTCACATGACCCTAGCTGTTGATAGGATGTTGAACCCAGAAAAGTAAAATATACAAGGATCTGTTTTATACATGCTGATAACAATTATTTACACCAAGATATATGAGAAACAAAGATACCAATTTGCCTTTTGTCAATCAAGGCATATAGAAACTAAGTTCTGAAAAGAAAGAAATTTTGTAAAACTTCCTGTCTGAAAAACAGAATAGTTTGAAAGACAATGGTGTAAAGAATCAGTGCTTTTTCTTCCAACTTACCAGAATTAAGGTAAGGTTTCCAGGTTACCCTTGGGACGTCCAGTCTACTGACCTCGCCTTTAGACACTGCCTGTGATACATGTTCTTTCATCGTTGTAGAGGGTTGAACATACAGCTGATTATGATGAAGACCTAAACAAAGCATTACTCCACTAAAGTCCATTCATTAAAAAAAACCTCATCTTCATCAATAAACAGTATAAATCTCGCTCAACTTTTCAACACAAGACTTAACGCTTCACTGGTCTGCACTTTTGATACATGTGTAATATATGTACTGAACATCCCGAGCATGTTATCAGTGATATCACCATGATAACTATACTACAAAATGAAAGGTTTATAGCAAACTCATAGTCCAAATCGGGCCCCTTCATGCTATACCCTCATCGAATGGGACTAACAGCAGAATAACTCTGACTCAGAACAGAGTTCAGACACAAATTGTTTACCTTGAAAATAACAATGATTCAGACCATCTGATCTAAATTGCTCACAAATTAAAATGTTTACTTTGAAAATAACTCTGATTAAGAATGGCTGATATGAATTACTTACACACTAAAAATATTTACAAGAATTACTCTAGACACAAACAAGTTTGTATGAGTCATTTGGATACTTAAAAGCTGATTTATTCAGATACCAACCTACATATAACAGAGGTTCCATAGGCAGCTCTTCAGTAGGAGGATGAAAACTTGACAGGGCAGGTACAAGTCGTTTGTCAAACACATTCACAGGCATTAGCTCCTTCTTGTGAAGGAACCAAGCACCAGCCACAGGACTAGTGAACTGCAATGTATAATAACATTATCACCTGTAATATTAACCAGGAGCTGGTAAACAAAGACAAAAGTATGTATTATATACTTCAGACATCAATACATGAACAGACAAGACACAATTATTCATAACAGGGATATAGTTAAGACTATCCCCTTCCAGGTATGAAGTGATTTCCTAAGAATGAAAAGCCTGTTTCCATTATGACATTACCACCTAATTACTTTTCCATACTAACCTTGTGTTGCCATTCAACTAAGCTGGAATCACTTGGGTCCATACCCACAATCAGTCCCTCTGGTACCACAATCCGCAGTGTGTCCTGGATATTAAAATCTAAGTCTTCTTCTTCGTCATCTATAAGAAAATACCCCGATAATCTTAGGATTTAACAAAGCAGAAACACAAGTAAAGGGAAGTATCCCTATTTTGTCTCTCCATGAAAATAAATCTCCTGCACGACTAACCAAAACCAAATTCACATTCACATTATACACATATGAGCTTTAAATCACATTGGTGTCAAATTATGGTACTAAACTATTACAATCACAGCCAACAATCTTTTCGATCTGTTACAGGGACAAAAATATGTTCACTATATCTTTCAAATTATTTTTCATCCTGCATTACTGTTTTACTGAATCAAGTATTGTATATAGCAAAATATGTCAAGTTTTGTACGATTGCCTCCTTTTCCTCAATAAATGTATATTTTTTTTAACATACCGTCTGAACCACATGTCAAGATGGAGATATCATCATCAGAATTATCTTTCACTGTCTGTGATGGCGGTACGCTCTTTCCGCCCAGAAACTGGAGCTCATGTTGGCCAACACTGAAGTTCCACCTTAAACCAACAAAGCAAATGTTTCAATGATTCCATACAACAGAGTACTTTACTAGTTCTATCAGAATTATTTCCCTGTAATCAAGAACATTTACAGAATATTGATGACATGCATTATTTTAAAAAGTGGACTTCAAATCTGAAAAAAAAATCTAACAGGAACCTCATGTGAAATTAGCAACACTCAAATTTTGTTTTCTTTTAAATCTATAAAGTTCAACTAAAGGCCTGATTTCCCCTTGGCTAGGAAATGACTATTTAGTACCAAATACATTCATTTAATGTGACACCACTAGGAAATGAAGATAAGATGATAATCATATTCATCATATTTCTTCACTTGTGACCTACTTTTCGCCTCCTGTTCTGCAGTCTACAGCACGAACAGTTTGTGTGTTTCGTGTTATCACCAATATGTCATCCATCTCTGTCACATCGGACTCTGCGACAAATTGGCAGCCTTCCGCAGAACATACATAATTCATCTGGATAAGAAAAAATATGACTTCACACTCATATTAATTTTACAGACAGGTTCTTTCAAGATACATTACAATGCTTGTAAATAACTGTTTCCCAGTAACTTCTCATATCTACTGCCTGTCATCATCTGTTTCCAAGTAACCCTCTCATACCTTCTGCCTGTCATCATGTTTCCAAATTACTCTCTCATACCTACTGCCTGTCATCATCTGTTTCCCAGTAACCCTCTCATACCTACTTGCTGTCATTATCTGTTTCCTGGTAACTCTCTCATACCTACTGCCTGTCATCATCTGTTTCCTGGTAACTCTCTCATACCTACTTGCTGTCATCATCTGTTTCCCAGTAACCCTCTCATACCTACTTGCTGTCATCATCTGTTTCCCAGTAACTCTCATACCTACTGCCTGTCATCATCTGTTTCCCAGTAACCCTCTCATACATGCTGCCTGTCATCATCTGTTTCCCAGTAACCCTCTCATACCTACTTGCTGTCACAATCTGTTTCCCAGTAACCCTCTCATACATGCTGCCTGTCATCATCTGTTTCCCAGTAACCCTCTCATGTCTACTGCCTGTCATCATCTGTTTCCCAGTAACCCTCTCATACCTACTTGCTGTCATCATCTGTTTCCCAATAACTTTCTCATACCTACTGCCTGTCATCATCTGTTTCCCAGTAACTCTCTTATACATACTGGCTGTCATCATCTGTTTCCCATAAACCATCTCATATATCAGTCATGCCTTCAATCATGTTTCCTATAGCTAATAACCCTTTCATACATATATCTACTGTTTTTCTGGTAACTCCCTAACATATAGCTAGTAACTCTCCTACATAGGACCTTTTCATTTATTCATATTTATTCACATCAATGTCACCAGTAACCCTTCACATTTATTGTGCTTTCTATCTCTTTAATAATGTTAACCAACTTATCAGCCTTCTACAATAATAGTGTATTAATTTTCTAGTAACACTAAGAACCATGTTACTTAGGTGTAAAAGACTGACCAAGTACCTGATGACTGCTATTAAGGTAGAAGTCTATTACAACTTTTACAGTTCAGGATCAGACACTACTATTTACATATGTATATAGTTTATACTGTACTTGTCCATCTGCAGGATTGACTCCATAAGTTCTGATGTCTTTAGAACCAACCATCATCATCTTGTCGCTCAGTTTGTTGGAGGAGCTGAGAAGTGTTTCTACAGTCATCGGGATTGCCTCAATACTCTCACCATCATACTGATACAGGCCTCCATCCAGTGATGGAATCAGACGAGTTGGCATTCCATTGCGACTTATCTATAAATATATTCTTTAACTGATGTATTGCAGTAAGTTTGAACTGATATTCTGCCACAACACCATCTCAAGGTTAGAGAGGTATCACAGCTACCAAATCATTGAAAATGTAAAGGGATATAACTACAGTATTCCTTTCTTTTTTCTAATTGAATCAAATCATCATATAGTAAATTTGATGTCAAAGTTATCAAAATTACAAAGTTTGATAATCAGTTGGTATGTGATAGAGTAGATCTCTAGAAATGTTGGCATTATGAAAAAAAAATGGGGGACAGTAACTCTTTCCAAAAACAGTTGAATTAAACTGCCTTTCAAGAAAACACAACTTTTTCATGGTAATTAAACCTAACAAATCTGAAAAAGATAGGTTGAAAACTGTGTGGGAGGAAATCTCTAAACAACTGAAAGTTTATGATGGATGGACAGACAATGCCAAACCATAATAAGTCTTGTCTTGCATAAAGTATAACACAAATTACATATAATTATATGCCACGTGTGACACAGCGTGTCCACATCATCAGAAATATATAAATACCGGTATGTATGTAGAGAGCTCACTATAGAGCTAAACACAAAACTCAAAAATGGCACAATTCCAATTAATGGTAAACTATAGACAAAATTAGGAACCTGAAATATTTGTTTGGGTGACCATATATAGATAAAAGTATATTCCAGATCTGGTTATGATAGTTAATGTACTTGGAGAGATATAAAGCAGAACACCAAACCAAAATATATAATAGCTTAAATACTTAACTTGAGAGAAATAAAGCTCAATATTGAGACAAACTGAGAACTTTAACATAGCTCAATTAATAAGCAAAGTTCAATTAACAGTTAACCGCAGTTGAAAATTAAAATCTGAAATGTGCATATTCCAGGTTTCATTAAAAATTAAAAATTAATCCAAGTGTAGGGTTAAACACAAAAACTTTAAAATAGGACAATTAACTAACAAAGTCTAATAAATTGTTGTCAATTGTTGTCGACTTCATCATGCATGAGACAAAAATCATGCTTTACAAAATTTGAACATATTACTGGTATACGTAAACAATTAATGAAAATGAAACAAAGATAACAATATGGCGAAAGATTAAATGTCATTTGTTTACTTTTTTATAAATACCTCCAGTTTGCTGATACTTGAAGACAGGAGAGGACTTGAGTCTGCAGATATCCTCCACTCAAGCTTTCCTTTGTTGTTGATGTCAATAGCAGAAACATCTCCATTTAGTGTACTCACTATCATTAGGTGACTGAAGAGCAAACAAAATTCTAGTTAGTAATCTCCTTTCACACTAAAGCTCTAGTTTTTGCTTTGTACAAAACATTCTTTATGTCTTTTTGCTGCCACTCCATGTATACGGGGACAACATTGGTAACAATAATGGCAACATGTCTCTTCTGTAAAGGTACACAGTCACATGACATCAGTTTCTTCTAAGCTATGACACAATGTGTACATGTATAAGTTTCATTAAATTATTGACCTTTGAATATTTAATATTCATAATATTTGATTACTAATGATGCACGCTTATGCAGAAAATTAAAGGGGGGAGGGGGTAATTTTTGACCCCAATGATTTTGATTATCATTTCTCATGCAAAGGCCTAGTTTTAGGGACCAGACACACACACAGAGACACTAGGGTCAACATTAAAATCATTTAAGTTATTGTGGTTTTAAATGCTGCATATTAAAACATCAAAATCATTTGATCACTTCATTTAAAGCATATGCAATGCACCAAAATGGATCGTTATTAACATTACAATTAGTCATAACGCTTGAATGAATTCACCTCTCCTTGTGTAGTTTGGAATGACAAGCTGCCGTCTGCTCAGATGAGTCAGGATCGTGACCGTAATGACTGGTGGTGAATGCATTGTTTTTATCTGCAAATTCGTCCAAAACAGTATCGGCGTTTGTTGCACCTATGCAACTAAATGTGTAGCAAAGTGCCCCGACAGATGTGACAAACCATGTCAGCAGTGTTGTTAACCTCTTATTTCTCCGTCTACCCATGAAGACACAACAATACAATTGAACATTGATGATGCCAAATCTGACGTAATTTCTATAACCACACGGCCTGTGTTGGTAGCCACTGTTTACCAACTTTGTCAAGTTTTATGGAATGATATCGTATACAAGTTTTGATTGGACAAACCACCGGAAGTGAAATCATGCCGACGTGGTCTTACCGGGAAAGTACCCTTTTGCTATTTTTAGATTTTGTGGGAATCTACTAGAATTTTCTACAAGATATTACTAATTATTATGTGAACAACAACCACAGATAACATGTTTTGATTCAATGTTTATGATTGTGTATATCAAAAGGGATTAACCTGTCTGACAGGTGAAACTTCATGAACTACTTACGGATATACGTTTGCAGACAAGCAAAGGCGTATTTGTTTCGTGCATGCCTAATTCGTCCGCTTATCATTAAGCGACAAGAACACGTTTATTAAAGAACATATATATATTTGACAGTTTCTTGATAATTATAACTCAATAAGACAGCACTTGCTACCATGTACCACCATGTTATGAACAGATGAATATATGATTCCAGTGCCCATCTCTTAGGGAAGTTCGCATACAATCAGGAGCTCGGTATACCTGAAACAATTTTACCCAATAGGAAATATTTCCCGCCATATTTCTATTTACCACGTGCACATTGTTTTTATTGACATTTAGGGAGCTAGTTCACATTCTTCCCATACGAAATGCCTGTTGTTGACGATTGGGTTAATGATCCATTGGGGATCATTCAAAATATATATGGTAAGTTCCAATTGACTACGTTTACAACAGTGTATATATTTCTACATGTTTATCAGAAACTGTCGGGGAGGTCTGAACAGCTGGAATTGTTGCTGGCAAAGGATAATGCAGATATAATAAGACGTAGATGTCCGCATTATGAATCAATATGTAAAGAGTTTAACCCCCTGTTATTTTAGATCTAATTATTCAGTCAGTGGATTGATAACACACAACAAAGTTTTCGCAAGGAATATATACTATCGTCTAGACATCAGACTCGTTTCCGGTACATTATTTAATCATCAAAATGTAGTTCCCGTTTAACTCTCAAAATGTAGTTCCCGTTTAAATGATGATTTTATGTAAAGCAAATATTTCTTAGACACTTAAAGTTAACTGTGATTTAGTGATGTCATCAGAAATGTTGTTACTTTTTAGAAAAAAACTGGTATTTTTCCAGTCTTTTAAAAAAAATAAATCTTGTAGTATGAATGCATTTTAAGTCATTTATTTATTTGATTGGTGGCAGTACATCGACAAAGCATAGCTAGGGGGAAAATATTGTTAAGAGGTCCAAAATTGATGCGCCAAGGATACACTCTTTACAGAGGGGTAATGTAATGTAATGTGCCCTTAACATGGGGCACTGTAGAGATACAGCAGGGCCATTTTACTGGGAACTGTACCATCAACACATCTACATTGGTAGCTTGCTCAACACTAAATATTGCTGGTTTCTAGCCATTTCAGAGTTTCACTAGGTTGTCTAATATAGTTGCTCTTGTAAAATGGAAGCAAGAGATAGAAAAGCTTAAACTTATGCCAAAAAGACATGAAAGACTTTGTTGAAATTTGAAATATTTTCAGATAAAGATGGTGAGGTGGAAAGTGGCGTGGTACGAGACTATTTTGCGTCCAGAGTTAAAGGAAATGCCATGTCATGGGTAAGTAATGGATATATTGTAATGGTTTTAGACTAGTTCTTTTATTTAATGTTTACTTTCACTACTTTATAAGAACATGACATGAGAGCTCAAGGGGAGCGAACTTGATTACAATGATCCATGTTTAGAAGGCCCAGTTTAATGCAATCGTATACTCGTATGTGTTCAGAAATTACATCAAACTCATTCAGAGAGGCCATTCGCAAATCTATCCTATACACTCTTAGTAATTAATCTGTGAAGTCAGCATTAAATATTGCTTAACAGGATATGAATGGTGTCAAAAATAATGGAATTGAAGTGTGTGTACCATGATGTATTGGAGCTCAAATATATCCTTTACACCTCATTTTATTTCATTGACTTTTACAAAGAATTTATTGATCACATTTTGAATCTATGTGGAAATTATTTGATTTAAAAGGAAGGAGTTAAAAGAGTTATGCACATAACCAGTTGGTAAGGCCTCAACAACATACACTGGTACATGTTAACATTCTCTTGGAAATGAGGTTGAATATATATGTAGCCTAGTTATATTTACTTGGTAGAAATTTCATTATTCTGTACATTTAATGACTTGTTCATTTTGATGTTTGCAATTTTCTTTTGAATTCAAATCTGCAGTTACTGATCATTTGATTTTTAATAAAATTCATGTATATGTGTCGGTATCAGAACTGAATTTACAGTGATTCTCATGTTATGTGGGAAGTGGTATACCCTGCGATTGAACCTACGTGCATTGATAGTTATATATTTGTCAACAATTGACTTACAGACTGTCCTTGTTAATTCTTACAGATTCCAAGCTTGAACGACACCCCGCTGCACACACTGCGGCCTAATTCATTGGTACGATACAGATGTATGATACAAGATATGTATGACCCTGAATTTTATTTGGGGTCATATGAGGTTGTTGACACAAAGACAGGAAAAACCAATATGAAGTCTGGGAAATACAAAGATGTTGCAGAATGTGCAGTAAGTCTGAAAATAGAGGATTTTACATGAGTGTCGATGTAACATGGAAACTAGTTCAGAAATTCAATGAGTTTGATCCATTCAAAATAACATATATATAATTTTAAGAGCAAAAACTGTCTGATCACAAATTTGAACATGGGCAGTTTTACTACCAAGACAGTCATATAATGTCATCAAGATGTGACTTATTTATGATGTCACCATTGTCTTGTATCTTACAATGTATATGACATTGCCATATGATGTGACACAATCGGCAAGTTATTTGATAAATCATTATAAAGGCCAAAATTTGGATTAATGTGACTTAATGCACTAGAAAATTTATTGCCCTTTGTAAAAGTTTTGTGTCTAAAGCATAACTTTGCTTGTTTTAAATCCAGGTTAATGAAACTTGGTTTATACATTGGTCATGACAAGATAATGTGCAGTGTACCAGTGATAGGGCCTACGACAAAAAGGAAAAAATTAAACATGGCAAAAATATTCTCATATATAGTACCCCTATATGCCAAACTTTGATAGGGCCTGCAGCAAAAAGGCAAAAATATTCTAGGATATGCTACCCCTATATACCAAATTTGTTGGGGTGGGGGGGGTATGTATATGAATTTCAACAATTAAAGGCCAAGAGATTTGTAACCATTAGGTAACTCTTTTTAGTTTACAATTCAAATATGTCATAATATATAAACCTTTTTTCTTTGCTACCAGAGTTTCCAACAGATAAATATGGAGTCCGCCAACAACAAGACACTGGACAGACAGACACTCTATGGTGTGCCAATACCTGGAGAGTCAGCTTGGGTCAAAGCAGTATCTTTTTTAACAGACACTTGCAAAAATCTTTCTGATAATTATATATAAAAGTACAAAAGTTAACAGAATGTTCATTATTTTATACAAAATATTTGTTATTTAAAACTTCTACGATAGCCAATCAGCGAAAACAATAGATGAAGTTAAGTGCCTTTAAAGTTTTCAAAAGTGAATCAATTTTAATGTAGCATTATTTTTACTGTTTTGGAAATAAATATAGATATCATCACAAGTTTGTATACCCAAGACTGGTCCTTCCATGGCTATTTGAGAAAATCTGAGGTTTCAGGGGAAACATTGTGGATTGGGATATATAATGTTGCCTTTGATGAATCAGATATTAACTTAAGCACGTGATTGTCTAAACACATTTGAATTACAGATGTCTATTAATAAGATTATGACCTATAACTTGAAATTTTGAAAATGCTGATAAGTCAGTCTTGAAGTAAACACACTGTAATCACAGATGTAATATTTGCTTTTCGTCCAAATGTGTTTTAAGTTAAACTTTTGTGTGAAATGTCTTAACAATGTTCAGAGTTTTACTGACCGAGCGGGGGTCAAGGCCCAACCATCAACTTCCTACACACCAGTACGTTGTAAGAGAAGTCTGGAGGAGGACTTAAGTGTTGAAAGTGAGGCAATGGAGACTTCAGATTCTACCAAAGTTGCTTCCAGTGAAACTACTCCAGTGTTGGAGAGTTCCGAAAATAAGAGGACTTGTGTTAGTGACAGAGCAGGTATTAAGTGAAAATAAGACATGCTATCTTTCACTTGTCCTTCCAGGTCATGTATTGTTTCAGACTGTTATAATATACAAAAGATAAATCCAGGCTCAGCCAAGGTCATTTTGGACATGATTTGGCGTTATGAGAATCAGATGCAACAGATTTAGTGTGTTATTTGTATTGTACACTCGCTGCATTTAATTACATTTTGTAGAGTTGAGGGACAGCAGTACCCAGAACACTTGTCGCTGATATCAATAAATGTTTTCACTGCTGTACTGATTATGATTCTGTTATTGAGATTTGATTCCTGACTTTATCCATTGTATGAAGTTAAAGATAATATCCTGTTGTATTTTCCGGGTTTTAAACCACATCTGTATATAAGCAGCGGAACCAATTTTTAACAATTTTTCCGATGTGATCCTCATGTGAACTGCACCAGATATTCTGGTCATTTTCCTCTAGCCCTTATAATTAACATTAAACAAAATTTTAAATTATTTTCATGACATTTTCTGAATGTGTTTACAAGAAAATCTTTTTTTTTTTTATCCCTTTAGCTGAAAACAGCCCTGTATTACCAGACCTTAACTTCCCTTTACCAGAAGAGAATGGAATATCCTGCCTGATCAAGGTACTTTTTCTTCTTGTTATAAACATGTTTTTTCTGTCTGTAAGTTTTCTTGGGGATGACGTTTCCTTGAAAAATGTGGGGTATTTTATTATAAGTAAATTTCATGTTATCTTTATAATAATATAGGACTGCTGAAAGAAATCCTGTATCAAGTAATTAAACATGACCGTACAGGACTGTTAAAAGATTTCCTAGACTAGATATTTGTTGCCTTCCATTGTGAGATGTATATTAATGTTTTCTGCAACAAGCTTGTGATTTCGCTTTAATAACCCAAGGTATTTGTTGTCTTCCATTGTGAGGTGTATATAAATGTTTTCTACAACAAGCTTGTGATTTCGCTGGAAGAAGACTATTTTGTTGCCTTCCATTATGAGGTATATATGAATGCTTTCTATAACAGGTTTATGACGATATAGATGCATTCTGTGTCAATGACATGGTGGAGTTCATTGGTGTGTTGTCTGTAGATCCCTCACTGGCACAGTTTGAGGCAGAGGACCAAGGGTAAGGAAAAAAAACTTGCATGACACAGTGAGAACTGTTTTTATACGCCCGTCGTATGACGGGACATTATGGTATGGCGTTGTCTGTCGGTATGTCCGTACGTCCGTCTGTCTGTGGTAAACTGTCCTTGTCCAGGCCATAACTTTGTGAATCCTCGGTCTGTTGTCACCATACTTTGTTCACATATATATCTCAAGGGGACGAAATGTCGCATATAAAAATTGCCCGCCTCACATGCATAGTTTCTGAGTTATTCCCTCATAGTTGATTTTACGTAAACTTCCCCAAATGATATTCAGATTATTCAAAGACAACTTAGTTATTCAGTCAAATACTGCTTCTCCATCAAAGACTGGCGACGGGCGTATATTGTGCCTCAATTAGGCCCTTGTTGTATATTTTGTATGAATATTTCCATACCCTTTGATAAACATTACATTTTCAGATATTTGTCACTTGGATTTACCCAATATTAGAACTCAATATTACATGTTCTACCATTTTTGACATCAGGCAGATCTTGGAAAACTTGTACTTGCCTCCATCCTTACTTCAATTTTTTTTATCAGCCTAGACAAAATTGACAAGGATTAGGTTTGTTGGGGTGAAACTTTTGTTTTACCTCTTATTGAAAAGCGTCATGTTTAAAATGAAATATTTCATTGAAACATTTTAAAAATTTGATATTTGCCTGTCCAATTTGGCTATGTCACCATTGGAAATTAAAATAGAACCAGTAAGGTTTATATGAATCTTGGTTTACTTTTTCCTTTTTCTTAACATATTGCTTTTCTTTACAGCTCTGAGAGTAAAGTATGTGCAGATGGATTTGAGGTATCTATGGAGGAAAAGAATGCCCATGCCCCACCCCCCTCTCTAGTGCCACGCCTTCACGCTGTCTTGGGGATGAAACTGAAACACAACAACCCTTTACTTACTTCATCAAGTCCACAGGAAGATGGCTTCAAGGAAGGTATTGGATCATTTCTCTTACTTACCATACCTCGAACTGGTTTATAGACTTAAATATAATCTGATCCTAATACCGTAAATATTCGCGTATAGTGTGCACTTTTTTAAGCTGAAACTGTCGTGTCAAAAAGGGGGTGCGCACTATACGCAGGTACATGCCATTCCTGGGGTTATCATTCCTGAGTTCTGCATCCGCCATATTGGATTACCTCCCTTCACATAGTTATATGTAAAAGTCGTTGGTCTTATATGATAGTTTGGAGATAAAAACAACAAAAAAATAAAATAAGAAAATGTTTTAATCATCTGCCATTCACGCTAGCATTACGGTGAATCTAATTTTTTTTCGTTTCCCGTCGGTCTTACTATTGGTCGGGGCTATAGTAGTGTCTGAATTTCTGCCTCATTTTGATGATGTATCTGTGGAATTCAATGAATCCGGAAGTTTTTAGGCGATTGGTCGTTCTGTTCATAAATCGGACAGCCCATCCCACCGATACCCAAAGTTGGTGACCCCATGACCTCTCTTGATCTGCATGGCCCGCACGCGCAGTTCTGTTGTACTGGCAGCGATGCCGGGATATCGGCGATCGCATACAAAGTTGAACAGCTCTTTCCATCTCTGGGTGTTTCGCTGTCGCACCTATGTCAGCCCTTCTGGTCAGTGGTTGGGATTTTAGACGGTCTTTTCTTTCTTCCGTGCCTTGATATTTCACTCTGGAATGTCGAAGTGGCGACCAGCGGCACGAAACTCCAGTCTCTCGGCGTAGTCAAATGGCGTTCCCTGTTTCCCCATGTCGAAGTCGGTGTAAACAATTTATCGTTAAATACCTTCGGATACCGCGATGGGTACAAATACCATGAAAGATCATGCCTATACTGAACAAACCACCTGCTTTTATGGGGACAAGGTAGGATTGAAAATGTTCAGACAGTTAAAACAACATCGTTTTCTGACCAATAGTACGTGTTCAGCCCAAGCCGGGTGTCATCAGTCTCCTCATACTCAACGTGTTAACTGTCATTAACCGTTAATTATACAATCAGCCAAGCCTTTCATGCTTGTTAGGTCACCTGGGTAAATTTGTTTACTTAAGGTAATTACATGTGTTAGGGTCACGCTCATTGTGGTTTCCTAATTATCAATGGATCAGACCACATCAAATATTTCGTCGCAGTGACCCGTCAATTAATTTTTCTGTAGATTTTTTTTTTTAAATCTGATCTCCAAAAAGTACCTGCGCACTATACGCGAGTGCGCACTATACGCGAATATTTACGGTATATATATTGTAAACATACTTATTTTGGGGCAATCAAATTTTACCACAATATACATTTTGGACAAATGAGTGCAGTGGTGAACTGTTGCTTTATAGTAATAAATAAGTAAGTTATATGTTGCAATGTAACTATATAATGTTACATACTAAAGGCAATTTAATTTCTGTGATGCAAAGGATGCCTTCGTGGAGGGCAAATAATTGGAATCTTTATAACATAAAGTTGGATAAATTAATTTTATCAATGGTTAGTTGGTTAGTTACAGGTTATTGGTCTCCATGACTCGTCCTATCTTGTGGTGTTCGCTGACAGATGAATGCTACATGTTTTAGAGATGTTAAATTAATTTTATCAAGAGTTTTTTCAGTGTTTATGCTTCCATTAGGTTATGAAATTAAACTTTTAATGATGCGAGTTTCTTACTCACATGTGTAGGATGGTCATTTATTTTTACTGGTGTGCGTATAATGATTGTGTATTGTACTGACTCTGACAGATTCTTTCTTAACAAGATCTTCAGTATCAAAAGTCCAGCTCATCCTCTTCTTGGCTTCTTTATAAAAATTACATGGTGTTTTATTCCAGTTTTGGCAAGGTTACAAGGGGAGATAACTACTTTACGCCAACACATAATAGCTACCTTGGAACATATCCTATTTGGTGATAAACTAGCAGCAGAATATTTCCTGTGTCATCTCCTGTCGTCTGTGTAAGTTTTCACCAGCCATTTTCCATGCCAGTTAAGAAATATCAGGATTTTCTTTTCCATTTCTATGGAATATGAGTATACTTTTCTAAATATACCAGCACAAGCTATCAAAATTCATATAGAAAAAAAATTGCACATGAAATAAACATTTTAGCATGTTTTATGAAAGAGGAATTTCAGCTGTTCTGGCCGATGAGTATGTCACTGAATATAATCGTTATTATAAGAACATAGTACCATTTTCTTTATCCAGAAATCATTTTTACAACCCCTGACACAGGTTTTGGACTAAAAGTTAAAGAAACTTGGAGTAAATTGTTGGAGTGATATTAATGTAAGATGTTTTAAAGTTAGTTGTTGTATGTTTGTAGTCTATACAGATATACTAGAGCTAATGTAATGCCCTAATGGGTCTGTCAATATATGTCTATATAGATATACTAGAACTGATGTAATACCCCTGATAAGTCAGTTATAATATGTTTGTACAGGTATGCTAGAGCTGATGTAATACCCCTGATAAGTCAGTTATAATATGTTTGTACAGGTATGCTAGAGCTGATGTGATGCCCCTGATAAGTCAGTTATAATATGTTTGTACAGGTATGCTAGAGCTGATGTGATGCCCCTGATAAGTCAGTTATAATATGTTTGTACAGGTATGATAGAGCTGATGTGATGCCCCTGATAAGTCAGTTATAATATGTTTGTACAGATATGCTAGAGCTGATGTGATGCCCCTGATAAGTCAGTTATAATATGTTTGTACAGGTATGCTAGAGCTGATGTGATGCCCCTGATAAGTCAGTTATAATATGTTTGTACAGGTATGCTAGAGCTGATGTAATACCCCTGATAAGTGAGTTATAACGTCTGTACAGGTATGCTAGAGCTGATGTGATGCCCCTGATAAGTCAGTTATAATATGTTTGCACAGGTATGCTAGAGCTGATGTGATGCCCCTGATAAGTCAGTTATAATATGTTTGTACAGGTATGCTAGAGCTGATGTAATACCCCTGATAAGTGAGTTATAACGTCTGTACAGGTATGCTAGAGCTGATGTGATGCACCTGATAAGTGAGTTATGATATGTTTGTACAGGTATGCTAGAGCTGATGTGATTCCCCTGATAAGTCAGTTATAATATGTTTGTACAGGTATGCTAGAGCTGATGTGATGCCCCTGATAAGTCAGTTATAATATGTTTGTACAGGTATGCTAGAGCTGATGTGATGCCCCTGATAAGTCAGTTATAATATGTTTGTACAGGTATGCTAGAGCTGATGTAATACCCCTGATAAGTGAGTTATAACGTCTGTACAGGTATGCTAGAGCTGATGTGATGCCCCTGATAAGTCAGTTATAATATGTTTGTACAGGTATGCTAGAGCTGATGTAATACCCCTGATAAGTGAGTTATAACGTCTGTACAGGTATGCTAGAGCTGATGTAATACCCCTGATAAGTCAGTTATGATATGTTTGTACAGGTATGCTAGAGCTGATGTAATACCCCTGATAAGTGAGTTATAACGTCTGTACAGGTATGCTAGAGCTGATGTGATGCCCCTGATAAGTCAGTTATAATATGTTTGTACAGGTATGCTAGAGCTGATGTAATACCCCTGATAAGTGAGTTATAACGTCTGTACAGGTATGCTAGAGCTGATGTGATGCCCCTGATAAGTCAGTTATAATATGTTTGTACAGGTATGCTAGAGCTGATGTAATACCCCTGATAAGTGAGTTATAACGTCTGTACAGGTATGCTAGAGCTGATGTGATGACCCTGATAAGTCAGTTATAATATGTTTGTACAGGTATGCTAGAGCTGATGTAATACCCCTGATAAGTGAGTTATAACGTCTGTACAGGTATGCTAGAGCTGATGTGATGCCCCTGATAAGTCAGTTATAATATGTTTGTACAGGTATGCTAGAGCTGATGTGATGCCCCTGATAAGTCAGTTATAATATGTTTGTACAGGTATGCTAGAGCTGATGTGATGCCCCTGATAAGTCAGTTATAATATGTCTGTACAGGTATGCTAGAGCTGATGTAATACCCCTGATAAGTCAGTTATAATATGTTTGTACAGGTATGCTAGAGCTGATGTGATGCCCCTGATAAGTGAGTTATAACGTCTGTACAGGTATGCTAGAGCTTATGTGATGCCCCTGATAAGTGAGTTATAACGTCTGTACAGGTATGCTAGAGCTGATGTAATACCCCTGATAAGTCAGTTATAATATGTTTGTACAGGTATGCTAGAGCTGATGTGATGCCCCTGATAAGTCAGTTATAACGTCTGTACAGGTATGCTAGAGCTGATGTAATACCCCTGATAAGTCAGTTATGATATGTTTGTACAGGTATGCTAGAGCTGATGTAATACCCCTGATAAGTGAGTTATAACGTCTGTACAGGTATGCTAGAGCTGATGTGATGCCCCTGATAAGTCAGTTATAATATGTTTGTACAGGTATGCTAGAGCTGATGTAATACCCCTGATAAGTGAGTTATAACGTCTGTACAGGTATGCTAGAGCTGATGTGATGACCCTGATAAGTCAGTTATAATATGTTTGTACAGGTATGCTAGAGCTGATGTAATACCCCTGATAAGTGAGTTATAACGTCTGTACAGGTATGCTAGAGCTGATGTAATACCCCTGATAAGTCAGTTATGATATGTTTGTACAGGTATGCTAGAGCTGATGTAATACCCCTGATAAGTGAGTTATAACGTCTGTACAGGTATGCTAGAGCTGATGTGATGCCCCTGATAAGTCAGTTATAATATGTTTGTACAGGTATGCTAGAGCTGATGTAATACCCCTGATAAGTGAGTTATAACGTCTGTACAGGTATGCTAGAGCTGATGTGATGCCCCTGATAAGTCAGTTATAATATGTTTGTACAGGTATGCTAGAGCTGATGTGATGCCCCTGATAAGTCAGTTATAATATGTTTGTACAGGTATGCTAGAACTGATGTAATACCCCTAATAAGTCAGTTATAATATGTCTGTACAGGTATGCTAGAGCTGATGTAATACCCCTGATAAGTCAGTTATAATATGTTTGTACAGGTATGCTAGAGCTGATGTGATGCCCCTGATAAGTCAGTTATAATATGTTTGTACAGGTATGCTAGAGCTGATGTAATACCCCTGATAAGTGAGTTATAATATGTCAGTACAGGTATGCTAGAGCTGATGTAATACCCCTGATAAGTCAGTTATAATATGTCTGTACAGGTATGCTGGAGCTGATGTTATGCGCTAATAAGTCCGTTATAATATGTCTGTACAGGTATGCTAGAGCTGATGTAATGCCCCTGGGTAAATTCTGTTTGAACTTGACCTGCTGTCCAACAACGCCCGAGTATTCAGCACTGCTGCACCAGTTTCTGTCTTCCATTGTCACTAAGGTAGGAAAACCCTATAACTAAATATGTCTTGTACGTATGAATCATTCATTATTAAAAATTATGAAAATTATTACCTCTAACACTAGTATCTCTGATAAATAGAGATCTCAGACAGAAGAATCACTCATTGTTATGGTTATGAGGCATAGCCGTCGTTTCTGTACAATTCTGTAACCTTTAATCTTTGGGTAAGAAATATATATTAAAACTGCAAAAGCCCCATTTTGAAATAGAAAAAAATTGCAATACAACATTTGTTGTTTTGTGACCCTTCCTCTTTTGATTGAATCAATCTGATCAAGTTTTGTATAAAATTAATAATTTCATGCAGTGATAGATCTACATGCAAATCAAGAGTCCTATACTCGTAGAATATTGACAATCCATTGGGACTTGTAGAATATCTGGAAACACTTGAATTTTACATTGTGGGACCAATTGTTATCAGCAGTAAAGATGAAAAGGATACATGAAAATTCATTGCAGATAGTTCACTGCTTATTGAAGTCAAGTAGGTTGCAAAACTGCTGTAGATAAATAACACAGTTTCAAAATACAGTGATTATGAAATTGATGACTATGGCCAAATGGCCTTAATGATGCATGTCATCTTCACAAAATGCCAGTGTTGATTCATTAATCAATATTATCAATATAAAGATGATGAAAAAACTTCCTGCACAAAAGAAAAATTATATTGATTTTAAACCAGTGATTAACTATGTGAAACAAAACTAGTGATATATACATTAATCATTACTACATATCTTAGTGACTGCGTTGTGTTGTGATGGACTCCCTGATTTTGCCTGGGACTGGTTATTTCTTTTTGTTAAGAGACTTGCCCTTTCTCTTAAATACTGAGTCCAAGACACTCTGACCTTAATCCTACAACAATTACCGAGATTTCAGTGCTTTAAAGTATTGACTTCTTCAGTTCTATAGGCCACAGAAAATGTATGTTAGTGAATGTTAACATTCAAGGGCAGATTGATTAATAAGGAGATTACATCTACAACTAGGCTTAAGGTTAAATAATCTTGATGTTTCAGAGTCATCATCTTCCCATCACCATAGACAACATGAACAAAATACGTCTGTGTCCCCAGAAAGATTATACAGCCAACCGTCTGCAGAGTGGAGCTCTGCAATTAGGGGCTGATACCTCGCTCATACTGGATGAAACTGTGCTGCAAGCTGGACAGCTTGATGCTAATGGTAGTGCTCTTTTTGATATTTCTGGACGCTTAAATTGTAACCTGAAGTTTGGTTATAATTCACAGAGCAAGTTGTAGCCATTGAATGTGAGAGGTAGAGAAAAGTAGTAGGTGAGGAGTGATATCAGACCGACCTTGTATAGGGTTGAATAAAATGTATCTATAACTGCTGTCTTTTCATTAATATACATTAGAGTGTATGTCATTGTCAGAAATATAACTACTTAAAGAGACAACTGCAATAGCTCATTAGATAAAACATTAGACTTCGCTCTTTACACATCTGGTGGTTTGACTTATTTGGAAGCTGAGATCATCCTGTGCTGTCATCTTTGGTGCCCTTTTGCACACCACTTTAACCCAATAACTCTGGATAGCATGCCTACTGCCTATTATTTAGTGTAGCCCCATTACTCTAACTATTGCACAAAGATTCAAAAAGTCATTGACAGTTTCCTTGGCTCTTAATCTAGTCAATAAAAGGGGAATAGCTGGAACAACAGAGAAATCTTTGTACAATCTTTTGTGTGAGTGCTGACATACTGTCAGTGGTGTAAGAGTGGGTTTGGATCTCAGGAAAACATTGTATGATAAGTTCTGATACAATCTTTTCTGTTAGTGCTGACATACTGTCAGTGGTGTAAGAGTGGGTTTGGATCTCAGGAAAACATTGTATGATAAGTTCTGATACAATCTTTTATGTGAGTGCTGACATACTGTCAGTGGTGTAAGAGTGGGTTTGGATCTCAGGAAAACATTGTATGATAAGTTCTGATACAATCTTTTCTGTTAGTGCTGACATACTGTCAGTGGTGTAAGAGTGGGTTTGGATCTCAGGAAAACATTGTATGATAAGTTCTGATACAATCTTTTGTGTGAGTGCTGACATACTGTCAGTGGTGTAAGAGTGGGTTTGGATCTCAGGAAAACATTGTATGATAAGTTCTGATACAATCTTTTCTGTTAGTGCTGACATACTGTCAGTGGTGTAAGAGTGGGTTTGGATCTCAGGAAAACATTGTATGATAAGTTCTGATACAATCTTTTGTGTGAGTGCTGACATACTGTCAGTGGTGTAAGAGTGGGTTTGGATCTCAGGAAAACATTGTATGATAAGTTCTGATACAATCTTTTCTGTTAGTGCTGACATACTGTCAGTGGTGTAAGAGTGGGTTTGAATCTCAGGAAAACATTGTATGATAAGTTCTGATACAATCTTTTGTGTGAGTGCTGTCATACTGTCAGTGGTGTAAGAGTGGGTTTGAATCTCAGGAAAACATTTTATAAGTTCATGTTTTACCCGTAAATCTTTGTGTTTGAGAATCGAAAATTCTGATGCTGCCAACCAAACAATAGGAGTCTTAATGCCCTCTAAAGGTACAACATAATCAGTATGATACCTTTGCAGGTGTGAAGAACATGACGGCTCTTGGTAACTTAATCAACTGGCAGAAAGTAGAGTACGACTTCAGTTACCACCGACAGGAATTTATGTCTGATGTTGCTGTTCTTGTGCTCTCAGAGGCCAAATCCCTACTACCTGTAAGTTCTTACAATGATAAACACAAATCATTACATAAAAGTTTATACAATCATGTGTAAGCCAAAACAATCACCTATATGCTCATACTATTACCTGTATGCTATTAATAGAACCAGTACACTTAATTTATCTTATCACATGAAAACTCATCTACTGCTTGCAAGCTAGCAGTATCTTCTTTAAATTATGCTGTCTTTAGGCCTATTTCTCTTGTCAATAAATATTATCACTGTCAAGCCCAGATACCAGCTTTAAAGAAGAAAGTACTATCCCAGTCAAATGTTTAAAACCTGAGAGCCAGTATCATTCATATTCAACTATCTGTAAGCTTACTTTATCCTGTCAATATCCTGATACATAGCTAGTCTTTACAACTGACTACTGTTAGCTGGACATGTACATACCAGTGTGTTTTTAGAGAACTACATCATCCTTAATAAATGTTGATAAGATTGTGACACAAGTAAATATTTCAAATTATTGTTGTATATGTTTCAGAGTGACTGTCTGTTACCTCTGGCTGCCAGTATTCCAGCTGGTGTCAGTTTACAGGACTATTTCTCCAGAGTTGATAATTTAATGAGTGCAGACTTCGTAAACAAATTTCGAACCTATCTAACAGCAGCCAAGATGTTGGACTACAGTATGTCTGGGGATATACAAACGGTGAGTCAATATTTTTAACACACATCCAACATCACTGCAAAAAGATGTTTAGTATGATAGACAACAACAGCATTTTGTTGGTAAACCAGGACACTTTTCGTCAGGTCAGAGATTGGTGAAATTATTTAAGTTTTCAATCATGAACTTAATGTTATAAGATTATTGTTCAGCAGATTATGATAAAGCCATACAACACTAAGCTGTATGTGTTCGGTGTTGGGCATGGTTTCATTATAATCAGGAAATATCTCACTGTGAAAGGTCAGAACAGTTATATAGACTTCATATTTTGGTTGTAAACTTACTGTAGAGCTTTTCTGCCGAAATCTCTTTGTGTTAATTGAAGTTTCTGCATGTTGTTTGTATAGCAGGTATTGCAATACACAAATATATTATTGCACTAATTTGTTAGAACTTCGAACAAAAATTTCATTGGTCCAAAACTAGGTGTATTTACTGTAATTCATAAGAGAAGTGACCTACTTATTTTATGCTATGTAGCTATAGGGATGAATTTATGTGTTGTTAAAAATACCATGTTTGTGTGACTTCATCTTGTCCTGAACGTTGATAACATTGCTTCTTTCCCAGGCTATCCAAGATGATTTCGTTAACATTCGAAAGGATGATCCCAAAAATATGACCATTGATGATTTCCATAAACTTTTGAACTTAGTCAGGTAAGTTAATTTATGTGTAAAAGATTCACTGCTTTCAATCAGTAATGTCCTCTGTTGTTTAACAGCATTACATTCTAACAAAGGTCAAACTTGAGTTGGAAGCACTGTACATAGATGTATTTGCATCAAATTTCACCAGAAAATTAGAAGTTTTTACAAGTTTTTGTCATGGCAAAATGACATATATAAATTTATTGTAAAGATATAATTTATTCATTGGATTTTTATGGTCTAATTTGTAGAAATGTGATTTGACAGAATCTGTTCTGTGGTGGTGTTTAAAAAGTATTTTGCTGTAGAATGACTTTCCTTTGATACATATCCACAAAATTACCAGGTATATTACAGGGCGCTGTCTTTTCGTTTTAAACTAACGAGAGTCAACAACCTGTAGTCAAATAATATTTTTGGGAAAAGACCTGATAGTCAGTTCTTTTGTAGTTATCACATTTGTGTGTATTAAGATGATATTCTCAGGTACATTTGAACATTATTTTGCCTAATTAGAATATTGAATTTGAAACTTTAAAATGCTTATCAAAAGTAAAGAAATATTAGGTAATTTGTGGATATTTCACAATGTGAGACAGTCACGATATCAAGTGAGTTAGCGACACTTAACTGATTCATGAGTTAGATGAAATTTTCAGCTTAGAAATTATTGTGATCAAATAAACTAACAGATCATTATAGCCCTTATATCTTACCTCTGTTGCAGGTTGTTATCAATAAGTCACTTGCAGTCATGTCCCACACAGAATCTCTGGACAAAAGTCAAAGCAATGGAGACCCAGCGCAAACAGCGGCTACCTCAAACAAGTAGAAACACTAATTAAGTTTGTATTGACTTGTCTATAGCAAACCTTTTCATTTTCAACACTGCCATTTTGCTAATTTTTGCTTGAATTCTGTATATGGTTAAATAGAGTTTTGAAACAAAAGTTCTGGGATTTGTTTCTCAGCATATTGATTCTAAAAGTCTGTGGTATTTAGAATCTATGAAAGTTAAGTTCCTCAAACTTTCAAAGAGTAGAGAGGCAATCTTGATCAAAATTCTAATGAAAAAATCTGATAATGATTTGTATATGTTTATTGATTATGCATAACTGAAATGAATAAAATGTGCCTTGTATCTAGAGTTCTGTGTATTTGTTTCCATCCCATACCATGTGTTATTGGTATCTTGTAGTAGTTTGCAGTTGTACATGGCCTATTAGTTGTGTAACTGTTGTAACATAAACTTTATTTTACAACAATTGCGAAACAAGTTATTTCAACTTGTACTAATCAATTTTGTTGGCCCGGATGTAAGTCGATGGGTGTTATTGTGGGAGGAAGTCGGAGTACGGGGAAAACCCACATGGTCGGGCAGGTGACCCTTACCTGCTCATGTCCATTCTGGGAATCAAACCCCGGACGGCTAGGTGAAAGGCGAGTGCATTAGCACCGTACCACCTGACATCCTGTTATTAAGTAGTGATATGTGTATAGGTTTATGTCATGTCTCTCTTCCCTTTCCTCATCCTTTTTTTTTCTATTTTCAAATATATTTTAATTACTGATATGATGCTGCTTGTTTCATTGTCATTTTTACTGAATCAATTTTTGTCTGTTATTCATTATGATTTCTGTCAAAGACACAGATCGATGAAATTAAACAATTTGTTTCCAGATCATTGTATCAAAGAACATTATATTGTAGCTTCTTATGAAACTAATATGGCTCATACTTAGTTATGTAAACACATGTATAAAGCCATGTTATTAGTCATGATGCGTAAAAAATAAAATTCCAGATTTGAAATACACTGAAGACTTGTTAATTATCAAAATTTAATCCTTTTCAACACTATATTTGCTGTATTTTCTGCATTGTAAATTAGATAGAATTTCCTTCATATATAAGAGAAATGAAAATAGTTAACTTACAAATGTTATTGTGGCAAACAAGTACAGACTAATTGTAAACAGTTGGCCGTACTGTCGTTTGATGTGCTATGTATACACAAGTCTTTCAGCCAATTTTGCCATTGCTGGAATACCATTTCTGACACTATTCGTTAACATAAACTGCTCCCAAATATCAGCCACAACATCAACATCTCGTCTACTGCCGAATGCTTGATTCTTCTAGGTCATAGAATTTGATGTAGTTGTTGTACCAAGCATAAACATATGTAACAACCTTGTCAAGTGTTAGATAGACCTGTATAACAAATAATTTGCTAATGTTGCCAAGATATTGTTGTAACTCTTGAAAATGTAAACATACTAAATCATTCTGTTATTAAAAATATACAGAAAAATGTCTCTTCTAGAGAAAAGTCGTTGTCATTCACACCTGCTTGTAAGACGGATATAAGACTATTTGTAAATTTCAGAGGGGAAAAAAGGCTACAGGTGTAGACGAAATCTCTGTAATAGTTCTAAATCATGTCAACCCTGTTAGTGGAGTATGAAGGACGTGTTTGATACTCCTTAGTTTGCCTGTCGGTTCCATTGTTGTATAACTTGTTCTCATTTGGAAATGTGACCAAACGTACATGAATTGACCAAGATTTACATGTCGGGATTGGTCGATGAAGCAGAAGACGCTTACTCTTCCGAAACACCTGCTCTCTGGTACTTTCCCAGTAGCCTCCGTGTAAGTCTTTCTTTTGTTCATATTTTGCCATAGTTTCGTTGAATTTGAGTTTGGATTATGCTTATATTGACATGTTATTTTCTTGTTTTTGTTGCCAATATTACCATATGAACAAAGGATTCGGAAAAGTTATAATTATCAGAGCAAAACAACGGAGCTTTGGCCCAAAGAAAAATCTGAATTACTAAGTAAAACAAGCTCTAAATCAACTTTATCAAATTTTGAAGCACAACACTCCGATCTCGTTCGAGAATAAGTTTGAATGATTGAACTTCAGACCCTTGAATAAAAGACAGATTCTGTGACAAGAAATGAAAAACCTACAATCGAATTAACAGCCCGGAAAGTTCACACAATAGTGAATCGGTAATCATGCGTGGAGAATGTGCAAACCAAGGGATTTGTTTTGCACATGTGGGTGTTGAGAAAAGAAATAAGAATTATTGATGGAGACATACAAAAATGAAAGATAACACGTTTGAAAGGCGATAAGCCATATATTCATAGTCACGTCAAGCTATTAGGTAAGCGATATATAGAATTCTGTTTCAGTAATACGTAGTTTATGTGGGGATTATTATTATTACTGCCTTGATCCAAAGATAGGACCACATCTAGTGAAATAAGTGATTTGTTTGTAACCATACGGTTTCTGGCACAATGCTATCATCATATTAAAACAAAACAATAATAAATGCACATGAAAAACATATGCACACACGTATATTTTTGTACATGCACAAATCTATATATATATACGCACCCTCACACATACTCGCACTCCCTTACCTATACTCATGAATGTGTGCCTTTAAACATGAAGACGACGTACCTTTAATTTGGCGACAACTGTTATGATATAGTTAATATTGATTATGAAGATATGTTGAACTTATCAGAGGAGGAAAAGATCTAATAAATATTGATTATAAGACTAACTAGATATGGATGTTACGCTGTACATGTAAATAAAAAAACATCCAGAAAATACCAACGTGTCAACATAATCTTAATCCAAACTCAGATTCCATAAAACCAGGACAAAATATGAACAAAGGAATGATTTCCGAATAACACTGCAATTGTGAGTATAGGATGTTGTAAAGTAGCCATATTGTTATGTAACAGATGTATTTTTCTGTTTGTACCGTGTGATGGGACTAGCTTTAGGTCAAAAGGCTATGTAACTACGCAGTACCGACGGATTCAATTTCACAACAGGCGCAGTAAATTGGGTATTATCTATGCGATCTGACAAATGTTGATGTGATTGAATCTACCGACGTAATTTGTCTGAAAAGAAAACTCGAACTAAGAGAAAATAGTATCTGTCATCAAGTATGGCCAAATCATCTGTACTAGGACTAGGACCTATTTGCTCCAGACAGTCTTACATAAATTCAAGATTTACAGTGCTTGTGACAGCCTATGTCAGTTACGGGTTATCTACGTAAGGAGATGTTTTACGGTACATGTAATTTTGCCCACAACCCAATTTTACCTTTATTGTGTGCTATTTGTGGTACCCCAGTAAGCTCGTAAGAATGTATGTTTAAAAATCTAAAAGTCATCTATGGCCTGTACTATGACCTATTTTATGATCCTTGTCATGGGCGTGAGCCAGGGTGCACATCTTACCACCATACTTATTCAAAAACATTCAATCATTGAAGTCTACTGCATATTTTGAATACAGATATCAAGCTAAATATTACAAATATAAAAAGTTATGGAAGTTTTAACAGGGAAAAATCATATTTTTTCATAAGAATTTAAAGAAAGTTTTTGGAAAACTTTGACAAAATGACAGTTGCTGTTCACCTAATATATCGACGTATTTTTTGGCCACATAATCATATATATACTTCAAATATTGAAAAAGTCATCAAATTGTTGGACTGGTATAATTGTTCCATGGGAGGCTTTTCTTGTGATGGCAGAATCAGGAAACTGCACTTATCTCACGGAGATGAACGACCCATATATACATATCCTTGTGATTAGACGTTACGCGTGGACGTCCTGACCGTGGCCGGTCTCTGGTAGTCTCAAACTGTTAGTACCGTCTCCACAAGGCGTCTAAGGTATTTCGGTACACACCAAATTGTCTGGCAACGCCAGCTTCTATCATGCCTAAGGCGCAGCATCTGTCAGTTTCATTCAACCTTGGCATGGCGTATCAAATACGTTTTTTCCCTCTCTCTCTCTCTCTCTCAAAATTATGCTGGTTTTGTGTATTACAGGTATTTGCACTATGCTTTATACAGGTTTAGGCGAAAAACGTGTTTACGATTGCCGCTAATTGAAAATATTAAATCACGTTTTGCCTCATTGGATTATTAACAGAAATGGCTCACATAGTCTGTACCTGCTCTTGTTTTTTTTAAATACAGCAGTATGGAATGTATATAAACTGAACTGTTGTTCAGGCAACACATTTTCCTAGAATCAATTCATCATTGAATGATACAAGGGCGATTTTTTAGGAAACGGGAGCTGTTATATTCTGTGGTCTTCTATTAGCATTTTGCACTAAAATTGAAGTTTTAAGTGCAAAAGCTTGGTTATCTAAGGTTATTCATAATTTGTGTTGTTTCTTTACCTGCTTGATTTACCATCCCCCCCACCCCACCCCACCCCACCCCGATGCTTGTGTATGTTCTGAATATCTCATAGGTAGCATTCTACATCCTGATACAAAGATCAGTATAAACAATTATGTTCATCAGCAAAGTAAACTGAGTGGATTCATTTCCTCAGTTGTAATTAATAATTTTCTTGAAATTGTACATCAAGTATCCAAACATGAGAATTCCCCAAAATTAAGACTTGTAAATTTGTCAGATTCAGACTGCCATGAATCTTGAAACATCTGATATCTCATTCCCTCATGTGGCTCTGGAATATCTGGAGACCATCATATGCGGCACAAACAGTCACCCGGTTACATTGTGGAGCATCAAACAGATAACGGTGATTATGAGATTTTGGGTCTACTAGTACGACGCTGATATCATTCAAGACAGATTCATTCTCGTCACAAATCTCAAACGAAGTACGTTGTTTGGATTCAGTCTGACGAGACTGTTTATGTCCTGCAGGAAAGAGAACTTCTAGCATGTGTGCTCACGTTGCATCAATAATACATTACTTGGGATATTGTATGCTTTTGGAACATCCAAAACCAACGCAACCACACAGTAACAAACTTAAAGATTCTATTCTATGAACTAACCTGCCAATGTCTCAATCAGAGAAACAGAAAATAAGTACCAGAAATCTAAATTGACAAAAATAATTAATATTTGTGAATTATTATCATTGTATCATTGCACGTATCATTATAACCAATTGTTTTGATTTATCAGAGGTTTTTTTCGGTTAAGATGTGCACCCTGGCTCACGCCCATGATAAGGATCATAAAATAGGTCATAGTACAGGCCATAGATAACTTTTGGATTTTGACACATACATTGACAATAACACACAATAAAGATTAAACTGGGATGTGGGCCAAATTATATGTACGTGAAATAGGTCCTCTGAGCGTCACAAA